TAGGGAGCAGGCAATCAGGAACCATTACTCTTCCGTGTAAAACAACAAACATATTACCTGTGTGAATGTAAAGCAGCTACACTGATTGTGGTAGTGTATATAATTAACAGTGAAAAAACGTGAACACTTTTACTTTCACCTTACTATTAAACCAACAAACACTTTTAGATTTAGAGAGAGAAACTGTTTGACAAGATTTAGCCAGCTCTCCTTAACGCACTGGGCAGCCGTCTTTACTTTGGATCACACCTACAGTACAAGAGCACTGCTACCCTGCTTATGCCACTTTACCACAGCCACTGTCACAGAACCTGCCAATTACTGGAATTTCTAGGTAAAGATAGATTGTTATGGGGGGTGTGTGAAATGCTGTAAGGATATTGACTAATCTGCAGTTCATGAAGTCAAGTGTCAAAGCCTCTCAGAAGAGCTGCATGTCCAGGTGAGTTACAGCACACATCAAAAGCCTTGAAACTTTAAGGCTCAGCCAAGACTCCCCTCTATAGCAGAAACCTTGATGTTTAAGAATGAAGAGTGCCTGAACTAAGTGAAGGTTTCGTTAACTACAGGTAAAAATATTGATGCTTGGGGATGCTTCTTTAAATGCAAAACCTTCTTATTATTTGTGAATCATGCTTTGAGCCATGAAAGCATGCTTGGCAATGTACAAATGATAGAAGACAGCAAATTCCCTGCCCTGGGCTCCGATTCAACAAAGCACAGAAGCACATGCTTAAGTGCTTTGCTGAACCAGATCCAGTCAACTAGCTAAGAGATAGAAAGCACAGACTGAATGAACCTAATGATGCACATACTTATACATAAAACAAATGCGTATCTCATATGATCCTGACTATCCTCACTACGCACGCGCGCGCACACACGCACGCACACACACACACACACACACACACACACACACTCTATGGCCTGATTTGGAAAAATACTTAAGAATGTGCCCAAATTTAAGCTGATGAGTAATTCCATTAAAAAGACTGTTCACATGTAGGAAGTTAGGGATATGTGTGTGACACACACACACACACACACACTCATTTATATAGTGGGATTTGAATTTGAAAAGTGAGGTTGCAGATAAGGAAAGAAGAGTTACAAAAATACTATGGAGTGAATTGTTTGAAGAAAATTGCTCCCCAAACAAACTATTAAAAAAAAA